AATAGGAAAATACGCAGCTAGTCATGGTCAAATAAAAATTCTATGGAGTTGGTGGATATATACATATAATACCAATAACAAAGATTAAAACACTAAAAATAATTTTAATTGACTTGACCCTATATTTTGATTTCATTTTACTGCAAATAAGGTCAGAATTTTCTAAAATGTTTTCCTAGTGCGAACATATTTTCCTATCCGGCCAAAAAGTATTTTTATTATTCAAATTTATAAATATTACAGAAATAAAATACACGTTATAGTTGTTTCTAGGTCCTCAAAGACTTAAAGTTAAAGAATCTCGAGTTGTGTAATATGATATGATATATTTTCCGCCATGAGGATACTTCTGCCCAGCACTGTAACTTTTACACTTTGTGAGCTCTGACTTGCAACTTTTTCGCCATTTTGGTGGTCCACTCGTTTGGGCTGCTTTGGTGTTTTATATTCTCAAAGACATATGCCGCTGCTGCAGAACTCGTAGATAAATTTTTTCTTTGGTTTTGCGTTGTGCTCTTTTATTTATTTTTTCTGCGCAAAGAAAACTCTGTATGTGTGAGTGTGGTAACATTATGAATACATATGTAGACCGACGTACATTTATGCATGGCTCTGCCCTTTCGCATTTTGTATTAAAAATTTAGAAAAAAAACCAACTAGAAACGAAAAGTTTTTGCCAAAGTTGCCTCGGGTCACACGTGTGCTGCCGCTATTGCCCCCTAACCCCCACCACCACCCCTAGCTATTGCCTTTATTATTATTTATTTCATTATATGTTTGCTCATTTTGTAAGCGAGATTTCACTCTCTCTCTGTCTTTCTCGTTGCTAATTATTAGGCTCATTTCGCCAGCATTCTATATGCACACGTGGACGTGAGTGTGTTTATGAGTGTGTGTGTACATGTGTGTGTGTGGGTGGGGGAGCCCATAAAAGTATGCAGCGAAACAGGGGCACGGCTGACTCATAAATCTGCCTGCGCATGTGGACAAATGTCCACACAATTCCGACACAACAAATTCATTTGCGCCCAAATGAGGCGATTGCGGGGGCGTGGCCATCCCACAGGCATCATTTGTATCGCATAATTACATATTTACAGACACCGAAAAAATAAATAATCTTATTAAGCAACCGAAGGTCAGTCACAAATTACTACAAGAATAAAACAAATCAAACTAATTGATAATTTGGCTGTTTTGTAGAGATCTAATCAATAATTTTGTTTAAAAAAATCAGAAAATTTTAGATTTTTTTTGTTCAGACAAAATTAGTTATCCATTGGCAATTTAACAACGAAAATAAATTTTATATAAAATCTCATTCTGTGATTTGTTGCAGTTTTATATATATTTAATTTATCTATGTAATAAAAATTTGTTTAGTTATCTGGGGTGTGTGAATCGCAGATTTCATATTGATTTGGAGCACATACAAGAATTAGAAATGTAACGGGATTGTAACAGAGAATTGAAATCAATTATACAAATGTATAACGGATTGCTGAGAAAAACAAAACAAAGTGTCCATTAAATATTATTCAAAGTAATTTAGGATTCCTATCAGAATTGTAGCCCAAAGAGGTTTTCAACGTGGAATTTTTTTTGTGTTCAGAGATGGGAGGATGTGGCTGATGGGGAGGGGGGAGGGGTGTACTGGGTTAGGGGTTCGGGGTTCGGGGTTAGAGCGAGACGTCAGCCTCAAGTTAATTGCTTAATAGTCGAGACATCAATAAATCAAAGAAAAATGCGCGTAAGCATAAAGCAAAAAACGGCGACGACAACAAAGAGAAATGGTTGTTGTGGGCGGTTGGGGCGAGGTGTTGCGGCTGCCTGCGCAAATGCAAACAGACTGATTGATGGCGGCAAGTGATTTATTTATGTTAATGCGAAGGATTCAGAGGGAGAGAGTCGGCGTCAGGGCATCAAAGTAAACGAGTGCTGACAGGATTTCCAAAAAGGCGAAATAGCCAAAAAAAAAAAAAAAAACCACTTTAATAATATTTAAGACTTTTGGAATTATAGATACTTTGAAAATTTAAATCAGTTAATGAACCTTGCCCATTTCATCAGTATGTGTTCGTTAATATAAGTATACCTAGTGTTTATTTAAACCAGCGATAAAATAATAGGACTTATTTTCAGGCCAACTATTTCAGCGATATTTCGACAGACGATAGCCAATTACGATAACTAGGTAGATTTGGCGGGAAAAATGCGAAACTGGAAGCGCAGAGATGACAGTCTTACTGTTGGGCGGAACTCCCTCCCCAGTCCAAGCCCCTCCACTCCCATTCCGGGGGCCCTTCGGCATTTTCACCTGCGACATTTGTCGTTGTACGTGATTCGAGCAACGATTAATCAACTGCGTGGGCGCCGGAGGGAAAGCGAGATGAACTCTGGCACTCCGGCGATAACAAAAGCACACGCACGATTCCGATGACGATGTTCCTCTAACTTAAAAAAATGTAATCGATTACATTTGAGTAATTTTACTCTAAGTGAATCGCTAAAAAATAAGTCGCTTGGGTTTTAAAATCACTATAAAGGTTTCAAAAAGTATTGAAAGATATATTTGGAATTAGGAAGTGCCATTCGTAATAAGTCACGAAAGACGTCGCCAATTTTTAATTCTATCCCTTGCTCCTTTATAAGTTATTTAGAAACCCTGAAGAGTTATTTTTTTGCACCTAATTGTATTTTAATATGGAATTTTTTAGTTATTTTGAATTGTTAATTTGCAATCCTGGCCAAATGCTCGAAACATACGATGTAACAGTCTGAGGGACAGCCAGGCGACAAGGAAGACATCAAATGAATTTTAATACGCGCCAGGGGAGTCGTCAATAATTAATCGGACAAATGGCCAGCGGCGAGGCCGAAGTTTTCGGGTCTCTCGTCTTGTTCTTTTATTGGCGGTGCTTCAATAATTGATTATTGCGAAATGGACTGCGGAAATGGCACGAGTTCATTCAATAATAATTCCGATTCGCCAGCGACATCTTTGTCGTGTTGGTGGCGCCTCTTCGACTGCCCCGAAAATCGCTGCAAAAAAAAGGGGGGATGGTCCAAGGAGGGGGCATGAATAAACATCAATAGGAATTTTATTGTGAAAATATTTGTCGCTGCCGGTGCTGTGGGTCAACAACAAGAACAACATCAACAAAATACTACACAGAAAAAAGTCACATTGAAATGGATAAGTCAAAAAGGAAATTTACATATTTTGATATGTGAACCATATTAAAGCAATATGCATTTTTAGACCATTTTTCTTTGGTAGCCAATTTCAATTTTGACCTCTGCAAAATAGCTCAGCTAGATATTTTTACAAACCATTAACTAATTAATGGTATGCATATTCGTTTTCTTTCTGTGTACAGAGACCAGCCTGGCAATGACCGCAAACAGATAGAAAAAGAAAATAACAGAGGGCAAATTATAGAGTAAACGAAAGTCATGGGAATTTATTGCCGTGCTGTGTGCAAACAAAAAGATAGAAATATCGTACAAACAAAGTTCACTTTAATAGCTCACACTAGTAAATAATTCCCAAGACGATATGTGTCCAGCAGTACATGTGTAGAAGTAAATACATATGTAACTTTTTTTCTCATGGAATGTTTTACCATATATGTATATGTACATAGAAAAGACTCGATGGGTATTTATTTTTAGTTAGTTTCGCAATTAGAGCAACTTATTGTAATTAAAAATTGTACCATCCGGTTAAAATAAAACAAGGAACTAACCAGTATATAAGCTCATTAAAATATAACAAGTAAGCGACATTTGGCAATATATTTTTAAAAATTATTAATAATACCGAAGCACACCTAGAAATTAGATATAACTAAATATTACTGGCTTTTGTTTGTGGGCACGAAAAAAATGATGCAAAAATCAAAAAAAAAATATTATTTTTATGCTGAAAATAGAATTTTAAAATATGCTGAAGCTAATATGTTCCCCTTTCTCTTTCTGCGGAAAATTAATTTTTTCAAATCGATTTGGTTTTTTTCTTTGCCTTTTGCTTGACCTTTTTCGTGGCGATGCGTGAACGATGACGTCGCCGGCAATAAAATTGATGTCACGTTTTTATGACGCCGTTGATAAGTCGTTATCTTTGATTTCAGCACGCAGGCTCGGTCTTAGTTTCCGTCTCCCTTCTACACTCGACCATTATCCTTGTTTTGTGTCCGAGACGCAAGTTTACAAAGCCGCATGCCTCACACCCACACGCACAGCACCCACACACACACAGCACCCACACACACCTACAAAAACACCAGAACACGCACACCCACGCAGACATCGACAATTGCGTCAGGTGGTCGCGGTCTTGCGGTCATTATTCTTCTCCTTTTCTCCGCTTGGCTTTTGTTGTTGTTTCCTGTTTTTTTAATTTACGCCCAGTTCAATTTACGCTTTTTGTTTTATCTCCAGCTCATAATTTATTGTTTTTGTCTTTTCTCTTCGTTTCGCTGGCATTTGCAAATTGAAAACAAGATGTAACGCAATGGTCGTGAGTCGCGACTTTGAGATACTCTACCCACTGTCCGCTAACCAAATACATTGCCTACTTTAAGGCGACGTTTATTTTAAAGGTTTAAATTAGGGCAGATACTTAATGCCATCTTAACTTAATTAAATAACTAATTACCTTGATATTAATGTCTCTTCTATATTTGGTATGGGTTCTCTCAGCAATGATGGCCTATAAATATTGCTTTAAGATAACAAATATTTCACTGTTGTTACGCACTTTTGCACTAGTACAATGTACCCCCCCTTGGTAAACGAATAATGGGTATAAACAGATGCGCGACCTTTTGTTGTTGGCAAACAACGGTAACAATTGCTGGCGCTTTTTGGTAACTGCTCTTCCTCACCGTTGTTTGTGCTCGTGTTGTTTTGTATGCTTTACGAGCGCCGCAGAGAACTATAAAACGCAGCAGCAGCAGCAGCAGCAACAGCAAAGTTAAAGAGAAGAGAGAAGCAAGATGGACCTTTACCGTTGTCCGCTCCTGCTCCTGGCCGCGCTGCTGTCGTCGCTGCTGGCGTCGCTGCCCGCCCAAGCGCAGATCCTGGGCCGCGGCCACTGCCGCCCCACCCTTATTCGAGTACAGGTGGGCGGCACAGTGTGCGAGCGCCTCTGCTACCGCCGCGACTACCGCGGTCCGCCCCTCCTCTGCCGCCGCGTCCACAGCTCGGGATTGGTGCCCGTCTGCGGCAACGGCTGCTGCCTCAGCGGTCCCAACTGCATGCAGCTCCTGTACACCTAAACCATTGATACTGCCATAATTAATGGGCCTCAGTACTCGTAGGACTAGACAAATTATTAAACTAAAAATTATTAAAATAAAAAAACAAAATACAATGAATCTCGGCTTAAAACTTACAAATTAAGTAGGACATTATTTTTACATTTATTTCTTCGATTGTTCGTATTTAAGCTATATGATATAGTCATCCGATCCGACTTATGTATATACTACCTGCAATAGAAAAAACACTTTTGGGTAAGTTTCATTAAAATAACTCTAAAAATGGAGACAATAGTTTGCATAGAAACAGAAAGACGGACATGGCTAGTTCGACTCTTCTGATGATAAAAATATTCAGATCGTTTAGAACACGCCAGCCTTTAACCAACATGTCGGATGAGTAATATTTTGACATAACATATAATAATACATAATTTTTGTGACACCTTTAGATCAGTACAGTTTCGTTATAAAAACAGTAGTATTTTGTCCCAGAAGGAAATTCATTATCAACCAACCCTAGAATTTCATTGGATTTAAATGTGGCTGAAACATTACATAACAAAGCTTAGTAAATTCTAGATTGATTTGAACCACAACAGCAACTGTGGCATGCCTAATGCAATTGCAATTAATTCCTGAAATATAAATTACTTAAATCAAACTATGTTGCATGCATAAATAAAAGCCAACATATGTACCCGGTAATTTAATAACAATTTTTTACGATGACCGCGTTTTAAATGACAGCTGCGATTACATTTCATAACTGTAAATTGCTTAAATACATCCAATGGAGTAGTTTGATGTTTCAGGTGTTTTTTGTGAAGCAAAAAACAATGCAGACATGAATGCGTTTAGCGCATGCTTTCGCTAAATTTAACTCAATTGATGTCAATTTCTACACAATTTATTTACCAGATAGCCGAACACAAAAGCCACCCACATAAGTCACACAATTTGGTTGCAATTTAATTATAATTTACCAAGCTAAACAAATCATATCGAAAATATTTACTGAGGGATTATAACATTCAATAAAACGAATTTCCGTTTTTTCACATTTTTTTAAAGGCGGTTCCTGAGTTTGAGCAGCATTGAATAAATCTTTTCCAATGGAAAAGTTAAATAACTTTCTATTACGAGTAAAATGAGTTTTCAATGACCGAAATCGGTTCACCAGAACATGATTCGTTTGTAAAGTGGGTGGAGACTTCAATTAAACAAAACAATTTCAGGGGCACAAAATGAGGGGCACGCAGTGGCCACGTTCGTCGCGGGCATAGCCCCTTGCACAATGGCAGCCCGTTGGGGATTTCCAGCACCGCTGGCTGGACTCCTGGCAGAAGGACTCGCATCGGCAGATCGGATTGCTCAGGCGGCACTCGTAGGCCCCACATCTTCGGGATCCGTCCAGTTCTCCCCGAATGGATAACACCATAAGGAGGAGCAGAAGCTGAACTGGAGACCACATGATTTTTTTCGGCATTATGCTTGCTTTCGTTAAGGCGTCTAGCTATTTATAGACAAACAACAACAGATGTCAGGTGTAATTATAAAAAAGCGTTCCTTGAAATTAATCAAATCTGGCGCTCTTTTTAAATTTAACGCTAAGAGTGTTGGAAATGTTCAATGATTGGACGGTCCCGTCGAAATATTAAATATCTAAAAGTTTTCAACAATCATTATCAAATGTGTAATTATTTAGTGGTAAAAAGTACCGATAATAACTAACGATTAAGCCCAATATTCCAATTCCGGAACTATTTACACTTTCACAGTTATTACATAATGTGGTTTTAAAACAAAAACATTTCGTTACTCCTATTTTTAATTTTAAAGTTGAGAGAATGTCGAGACCGAAACCCTGGAATTGATCATATTTAATGGGAAATTTATAAACATAGAACTCATTTGCAGAGGTTGCATGCTTGGCACTTCAAATTTAATTCTTTTAGATTTATTTTTTAATTGATTTAACGGTCGATTTTGTGTTAAATAGATATAGCATCTTTAATCGATATAACAGTGTTAAAAACGTCGTTCGTTATACGATATATTCGGGATGGTATTTGTTGGTCGTTCCACCATTGGTCACACTGGCGCGATCAAAATTTAAAATACAAGACGCTAGCCAGGAACAAAATATTATAACATAATTGAAACAAGATGGAGGGCGAAAAACTAAGCGCAGTGCGCATTGCAGTCCGCGAGGCGCCTTTTCGCCAATTTCTTGGGCGTCGGGAGCCCAGCATCGTGGAATTCCCGCCATGGGGCGACGGCAAGGTAGGTCAGGAGACTAACTGTACAATTGTCCAGTTACTTGATACAACCATCTTGTTTTCCAGTCCCTAGTGGTGGAGCAGAATGAGTTCCACTTCGACCACGCCTTTCCCTCGACCGTCGGCCAGGACGAGATGTACCAGACCCTGATCCTGCCGCTGGTGGAGAAGTTCCTTCAGGGATACCAGTGCACGGCACTGGCCTACGGACAGACGGGTACAGGCAAGAGCTACTCCATGGGAATGGCGTCGCCCGATAAGGTGGGTTCCAGTCCCTCGCCTTGACTTCCCATTAAAAATCGAATTCTCGAACTCTTTTGGAGAGGTTGTAGTCGAACATAACCCCTTCACCACCCACATTAGGGTTGCTACAAAACAACCAGATCACCCTTTTTAAAAATAAGCTAGAAATTGCCAAATCAAATTTTAAAAAATCTAGATAGTCCTTAATTTTTAAGTATGCGAATGGATATTACTTTATCTAAATTGTTCGAGAACACCTCCCTTCTTTCTATATTTTCTCAATATGTTCCCTTATCACCCTTTTAAGAAGTGGCTATAAAATGACCATTCTATGAGTATAATTAAGTCCCAAGTCAAAGGTAAATTGTGTTCTTCTAGTTTTCAACGTTACATACATCTAATTGTAAAAATCCTTTGCATTTTCTAGAAGCCCGAGCATCTTGGCGTTCTGCCACGCTGTCTGGGAGACATCCTAGATCACGTGTCCGCCAAGCAGGAGAACCAAGAGGACACCACCCAAGTGTATGCCTCCTTTATCGAAATCTACAACGAGAAGGCCTACGATCTCCTGGGCTCCCAGCCACATGTACCCACGGTGGCTTCTCGTTGCCAGAGCTGCACATGCCTTCCATTAAGCAGCCAGAAGGATCTGCAAACCCTATTGCAATTGGGCACAAGGAATCGGCGCGTTCGGCCTACTAACCTAAACGCCTCCAGTTCCAGGTCACACGCGGTTGTGACGATCCATGCCAGGAATAGCACTTTTCATTCCAGGATGAACGTTGTGGATCTGGCCGGATCGGAGGGCGTAAGGCGTACCGGGAACGAGGGCGTGGCCAGGCAGGAGGGCGTCAACATCAATTTGGGGCTGCTCAGCATCAACAAGGTGGTGATGTCCATGGCGGCGGGCCACTCAGTGATTCCATACCGCGACAGTGTCCTCACCACTGTCCTGCAAGGTGAGTGAATCGTTTATCTCATGTTATGTTTAACCTATAATTTGTTTATATTTTGCCAATGATAACATATCTATTCAATTAGCTATTTTTAAAATTTGTTTTATAATTAAACTAACGATATACTCATTTTTTTGTTATTTTCCATAAAGTAGGTCATTTATTGGGGGTTTAAAAAAAAGAGTTTTTAAATTTGCCTTAAAGTACTTATCAAACGTTGTTAAATTTATACCAATATTCACATCTATTTATTCATATATCTTTATATAGTAATACTTTTTATTTTTGAGTTTTTCCGGCTCGAGGTCAACAATTGAAAAAATGTTAAAACAAAAGTTTTTAAATTTTATTTTTTCCAATATATTTTGGTTGCACTTCCGCAACCGTCTTCAGGGCAAATAATTTTACACGTCTGCACCGTCGGACGTGGAGATACTTTTTATATTTGCTTGATTAGGGTACCAATTTGTATTAATGCTTTTTCCCCCTGATTTTTTTCAGAATCGCTAACAGCCCAGTCGTTTCTTACCTTCCTGGCCTGCATCAGTCCCCATCGATGTGATCTGAGCGAGACCTTGTCGACCCTGCGCTTCGGAACCAGCGCCAAGAAGTTACGCCTGGCTCCGATGCAAGTGGCACGCCAGAAGGTGAGCTTCCGAATCTTTTCATTCTTTCCAAGATTTAGCTCAGGTCCACGCAGTTAAGGATCACCACATACTCTGTTTGAAAGTTTATATAGAGAACAAAATCCAATTCCAATGGAGCAGTTACTCAAGTTTCGGCTTTCCATCTCTGTCTCTAATTTCAGCAATCGTTGGCTGCACGGACGCCACACACCTTCCGCCAAGTTCTGAGTAGCTCGACTGCCATCAAACGTCCCGGCGCCAATCAGAACAGCCATTCTGTTTCCAATATGCATATTGAATCAGCTAAGCCGCTAGCCAACATACTTCAACGCACTCGTTCGGAACTGGGCATGACCCCCAAAGCGAAGAAAAGGTCAGTAGATGTTGAAATTAAATGGGAAATGTTACTTATCTTATTCCATATCACAGGGCGCGGGAGTTATTGCAGCTGGAGGACACGACGTTGGAGCCGTCGACCATTGTCATGTCGGACACTCTTGTGGGTTTCAATGGCGAGATCAACGGGGACCAGCAACTGATGCCCCCACCTGAAATGGAGTATAGACAAGCTAGTAGCCAGGACTTTACCCCAGTGTGCAATTCCAAACAGGATGAACCGGAGAAGTCATCTACGATCCACCAGTCGGTCATTTCCCCCACAGTACGTTGCCAGCTTTTCAACACCAGTATCAGTTCCATTAGCCTGGGGGCATCCAGAATACAGCAGGATATCAGCGGCATACAGCCAATAGAGGAGATCTTAGAGCAGCGTCCACAGCCACCGTGCCCCCTGCGTCGCTCTGTGCGTCTGGCGAGCACATTAAGACAGGAAACCTCCGACGCTATTCCAAATATAACCAATTTGCGGCGCAGCAGGCGACTGGCAGAAATCCGGGAACATGTCGCTTCTGTTGTCGTTAATACGAAGAGCGAACCCACGGTCATCGCTGTGAACCCGCGAGCTGTAGTTCGCCCCCAACAAAACACCAGGCAGAGGGAAACAGCCCATTCGAGGAAGTTAAACCCTTCAGCCGATGAATGGCTGGCAAATCATCACAAATATTTCCTCGACTTGCTTAACAGCGGCAACCTCAAAGAGCTGCAGAAAATGCCCGGGATCGGTCCAAAGACAGCCTTTTCTTTGACCTTACACAGGTGACCATGAAAATCATTGTCTTGGGGTTGATTTTAGATCTAACCAATTTTTTTTGTTATTATTATTCAGATCCCACCTTGGCTGCTTCCAAGATCTGGACCAAGTAAAAGGCCTGCCCATTTGGCGCGGAACGAGTTGGGATAGGTTCAGCCAAGCAAACTGCCTGCATATTTAATTACAATTACTTTCAAACCTAGAATTTTGTTATATTTTACGTGTAATATTCTTGTCAAATTATGTGTATGTTCTTTTATGTGTAATATTCTTGTCAAATTTGATTTATTTATTTTTGTTTCTGACGTACCAAAATATTATTTCTTAGTTGATATAAAATCTGTTTAAATTATAAAAGTCCATCACTAAAGGTAAAATTATAAGGGAGCAGGATTTCCTAACATAGAAATATAATATAAGTTTATGTTAAGTGTAAAATTTCTGTTTTAATTGTTTGTGTTTATATTCGATGACAACTAGCTTAGATCTTAAAATAGCTCTATGTAAACCATTTTCTAAAGCAAATATACATATGTATTTTGAGTTAACGAGAGATGTATTTAATTTGAATGTCAATAAACAGCTTGGCCGAAAGCAAATCTCTTAAGATTGAGAAATCAAAAGTTTTTATGTAGGTCATATTATTTTCAACAATGTGCTAATCTAATTGTATATTCTTCAAACAAAGGTCGGAGTGTATCAATTCCTCGATAGTATAGTGGTTAGTATCCCCGCCTGTCACGCGGGAGACCGGGGTTCAATTCCCCGTCGGGGAGAATGCTCAAATTTATTTTAATTAATTTTTTTATTTGTGAAGTAGTATCTCTCCCAGGTGAATTGGCCTTATTTTGTTTTATTCTTATTAAATTATAAATTAATTTGTTCATTTTAAGCATACTTTTGGGGATCGATGTATGAAGCTAAATCAGATACATTCGCAAAAAGTCATCTGCATATGAAAAAAAGTCATTTCATATCGAAATTAAATAATATATTGTTAATATATTACTCTATAGTCAGAAACAAATTAATATTGAAAATATTGTAGAAACCAACTGTACGTATGTATCTTAATTGATTTATTTACAGGTTTTTTTTAGCTAACTTGAAGTATATATTGTTCAAAATGGTTTTATTGGTCGAATATAATATTTTCATCTTTAAAATAAAAACATAAATTTAACAATTTTTTACAAACGTATAACTTAAGTTTCTTGACTGGATCAGAAATCAAGAAAAAAGTTTGTTTAATTGAATAGGTGTAATCAGTAGTGATCAAATTTTGGGGCCATGCACGAATCAAACAGCTAATCATTGTAAATATTATTTTTCATAATTTTATCGTTGTAAGTCTTTTGGCCGAGCACTCTGCATGCACTATCTTTGTGCGAACTGTTGTGCCACCTTGTGCGGACACTTGTGACAGCAAATGCATCTTAGAGATACATCCGAAGACAAGGCACTTTTGCTGGCACTTCGGCCTATTTTATCAGCTCTGTAGTTAAACAAAAACAATTTGCTGACCGATATAGGAGGGTCTGGTTTAGGTTCTTGTTGGCATATTTGTTATTGGCTCCGTTTCGGTAAACAAGATAACATAACACGGCGGAGATACGAGAGGTGGGAATGGGGAGTTGGCTGGTGGAGAAGAGCTCGCAGGAATCTTCTAAATACTTATAAATACTTAGCATTTTCTGATTGGAAATCGCTGGCAGATAACGCCCGAATATACGAGTATCAGAGCTAGTCCAGTACAAAGGCAAAAGGCAACGCCGAACACCGAAAGCAAAAGAAATCAGCAAAACAAAAACAAGAAAAGCCGCAGCAGCAACAAAACATTGAAAGCAAAACAAATAGAGAGAAAATCGGGGCTTAAGGCACACTTGAAATACTCTTTCCAAAAACCGATCTTTCTTTGACTCAAATGAAATTTGGTATGTTACAAAAATTATAGTTTATTCTTATTTAATTTTGTATCGTGGTAGTTTAGTATGGGATCAGAAAACACATTCAGATTTTCTGTAGATCTCCAGATTTAGTATCCAACGTTAATAAAGTATCTTAAATTTACCATCGTATCAATGTGGTTTTCAAACTCATTTAAGGTATACAAACTGGAATATCTGTAGAGAGTACTTTCAGTGAATCTCACAACGGTCGGAGTATTAGATCCCTAGTTACCATAGGTCGTTTTGGGAATCCAGCGATCACTCGCTGGGGGCCACACCCTCTTACGAGTGGGGAACGCAGTCGCAATGTCCCGATTTCAGCGAGAGGGTACAGTGCAAGCAGAGGAGGGAAGGCAGAGGCGGAGTAGTGGAGCAACAGTGGGGGCCATATGCAATGTATGAGATCAAGAAGCCGGTCTTTTTTGTCTCTGTTTTTGTTTTTGTGTTCGCTTTTTTTCGTTCGCATCTTGTTGTGATCGCTCTGCCGCTGCTCTGTCGCCGTGCTGGCTTGTTTTTGCGGCGCAGTTAATGAATGCGCCCCCAAAACCCCCTCCCCCAATCACCTCATCACTCCACCGACGCAGCTGCGCAGTCGACGTCGACGCTGTGCGTTGCGCTTAAAATGTCGCAGCGACAGCGCTGCGAGCTCAGTCTAGCAGCAAAAGTCCAAGCGACTAGCAGTCCGGTTCCAAGCGATCGCAGTTGTGAATCTGGAATTCGAATTTCGATTGGGATTTGAAGTTTTTTTTTAGTCGGCACCACAGAGCAACTAAGACTAGTCACTCGTCCAGCATATACAGCACAGCACAGCACAGCACATCACAGCCTTCAAGATGTCGCAGCCACTCAAGTTCTACTTCGACTTCCTCAACCAATCGAGCCGGGCACTCTACATCCTCCTGGAGGCGTCCAAAATCCCCTTCGAGGCCATACCCATTTCGATGCTGAAGGGTGAGTACGTGCCCGGTGGCACACACACCCACAGTTTTGTAGGGTCTAGGTCTACTTAGGGCCCAAAGGTCGAGCCGTGGATCGTTGTCACACATTCCTATGCATTTATGCCGCCCTTTGTTCGCTCTTCGATTTCGATATTTTCGACGGCGAGTTTCCAAATAAATTTTCCGCTCGTTAAAAATTCCATAGTTCAACCGAAAAGTTTCCAAGGCGAAAGTGAACAGACGTTGCAGCTAGGGAAATCATTTAAATAATGTCACTTACTCCCAAAACAATTGCAGATATCTAAGTTTATTTAGATCATAAACACCATAGCTTAATGGATTTATTAATCAAACGCAAACGTGATGGTTTCAAAATAATATAATTTTAAGGAGAATTTGTTACCATTTCTCAAACGTGAGGTTTCCTTTAAACGAGGTCAAAAATACAAGTGTAAAACGTTTTTGGAGTGATCGGGCTAATTTTTAGCGGTGCACTTTGAACGTGTTTACTGTTAATCTTAACCCACTGGGGCATCCTAAAATCGCTTAATCGCTTTCGATTCACGCTTTAGTCGCCTGCTAGCAAACCAAACCACTGCGAAAACAAACAGTCGAACCTCTCTAAGTCAAAATAATCATATAATACAATGTCATAAGAACGGCTGACTTTCGAATTGAAAACGAAAAACCTCTGCTTATCTATTGAAGTCATTAAAACTTAAATCCTTAAATAACATGATTTATAATTTGTATAGGACATTTGAGTTCCAGGAAATTGAGTTGGACTGTACCCAAAAACCAGATTGCACTTTAATCGTGTTTACTCTGCGGGAATCTACAAACTGATCTTTGCGCTGGTTTTATCACCTCCTTGCCAAACTTGGACACTTATCAATTTTTTCTTGAGATCTACTGATTTGTGTGCTAGTTTGTTTTTTCAATACTTTACTTTACTTTTCGTTTGTGTTTTGTTTTCTTCTATCTTTTGTTGTTTTGTCAGTTTGTTTGCCGAGCTGCGCGTGCGCTTAGCACTTTTTGAAGACCCCAATACACGAAGGTGTGGGGAGGGGGGTGCTGGGGGTCTTAGTCTTGTTCGTTTTCCACTTGGTCAAGGTTGCGGAAACGCCATAAAGTGCAGAATTGATGCGAGGATGCAATCACCAGCCATCATCAGAGACAGAGGCCCATTAACAGCTGCATATATAATCACGATATCTGGTCGGGTTTGCATTTCTCGGTTGACGTCAACAATTCGCCAGGTAAATTAATATCCGCATCCGATACCGTGGTGTACCGGGACCAACTCACTACTATGCTAATCCCAAGGAGAGCTCCCCCTCTCCTCTATATGCCCCATTCCCACTACCGACACTTGGACTTTGCACTCCGGAGAGCCGCAAGCTCGGCGAGTAGTGCTTAGAAATCCGACTCGTCGCCAAGTGGCTGCATTCGAGTGGAGACAACCTTGTGGAGGTTAAAGACTCCGATGCGGGGGCAAGCACTTTCAGTAGTTGGAGCTCTGTTCACTATAGTGTTTCTGCTTAGAGCAACTCACCCGGTTTTCATGCCGCTCGAGCATGACGCAAGGAATCTAATCTGGTCGAGAGTTTACGAGCCAACTGCAATTCGGATCAAGTGGAAATCGAGTTAGGCTTTTGATTGGTCTATTGACATCATAAAAACTAATATTTTCCGACCCAATTTGGTATGCCCTCCTGATAGTTATCTACAAGTGGCCCCATCGATTTGCAAAGCTATCCATAGACTGCAAGCTGAGTTACTAGAGGTCAAAAAGGGTTGGATAGCCCACTATTCGTTATACCTTTCTAAAGCAATATATGGGTTTTCTTAGAGATCAGAGCAGGTTAAACAGGTTTATAACAGATATCTAATAGTAGTTAATGAAAAATATCTACGAGGACTAAAGACTATTAAGGCTCAAACGATTTCAACTGTTACTGAGTTACACAAAAATTTATATTTTCCAAAGGTTTTGGATGTGCAAACTTGTAAGATTTTGGATAATGTTATCTCAAGCCTTTTGGCTTTAATTGGCTTTAGTCATATAGATTTTGGTGCCCCCACAATGCACATGCGATAATAATTCGCTCGTGCTTCCGGTGACTTTTTGTTGCTAGTACAGGTTTTGATCACGAGTCTCCCTTTTGCTGGACCTACAATCCCGCTCGGCTAGAGCCATCACAACAGTCCGCTTTAATTTGCCAAATAGCAGCAAATTTAAAATTGAAAACTTGCCGCTGCTATTATTATTATTTGAATCGAATCTAATCAGCTGATGTCGGGAATCACAGTCCGCCACTGTTGCTGACTAATCAATTAGGTTTCCATGAAATGCTCAGTTAATTTCTTTGTTTATTCGCACCACCCAAATCATGATGGGATGGCGTGGAGTGGGTGTGGGTGTGGGTGTGGACAGGCATTCAATTTGCTTGTGCACCCATCCAGATTCCGGCTCAGAGCGGGTATTTTTAGAGCCGGAGGCCCCACAAGTGCGACACGATTTCGCACTCCTGCCACCCGAAGCCCCTTCTTATGGGACTTCTACTCCACTCCGGTGACCTTGATGAGCTAAAACTGGCGACATTGACAATGACTTTGCCGTTTCGTCGGCCAGACACGCCCCCCTTTTGAGGGCAATATTTCTTCCATTCCCCTTATCGTTATCGCTTCCAAAATTCGGCCCGTGATGGGGCACCTGTTGCCGAGTAGCAATATCTCGTTGTGATCAGGCGATCCACCGATCGGAACAGGAACATCGAACCAAATATTATTCAATTTATTGGTAAAAATAAAAAATGAAAATATATGACAATTCAGTGTTAATGTAATGTGAACTTGTTGATGTTAGAATGATTAAAGAGAAATAATTATTTGATAAAAAAAAGTGATTCCAAATAATCTTATGACAAATACAACTAAAACTTTAAATAGATAAAAAAAAGTTTATTATTTGACCTAAGTAGGGATCTTTTTTTGTGGGTGTATCATTATCTCACCCGTTCCCTTTCCCTTTCTCTTGCCCACTCCAGGCGAGCACTTGACTGGCGAGTTTCGGGACAATGTGAACCGGTTCCGCAAGCTGCCAGCGATCACCGATCATGGCTACCAGCTGTCCGAGAATGTAGCCATCTTCCGGCACTTGGCCCGCGAAAAGCTGGTGCCGGAGCACTGGTATCCACGACGCCACCTCGGTCGCAGCCGGATCGATGAGTACCTGGCCTGGCAGCAGACCAACATGGGTGTGGCCACAACGGAGTATTTCCAGCAGAAGTGGCTGGTACCCTATCTACAGAAGACCCGGCCCGCCGATAATGCGGTACGTGATCCTGATGCAGCTCCTCCTCCTCCTCCTCCTTCTTCTCCTCTAATCCGCGTCTCTTGTAATTGCAGGTGAATCTCGCCAGCAAGCAACTGGAGCACACGCTCAACGAGTTCGAGCAGCTCTTCCTCAACTCCCGCAAATTCATGATGGGCGACAACATTTCCTATGCGGACCTCAGCGCCATTTGCGAGATCGATCAGCCCAGTGAGTATGCCAAGATTTAAAGAACCTGAAAGAGAAAATAGTACTATAAACGGGGGAAACTGTTGACGACGTAATGCTATTGCCTCACCCGGTATTAACCTGGTATTTCTTCTTTACTCTGCAGAGTCCATTGGCTTCAATACGTTCCAGAACCGCAACAAGATGGCCCGCTGGTACGAAACGGTTCGGGAGGAACTGGGGCCCCACTACAAGGAGGTGCTCGGGGAGTTCGAGACCAAGCTGAAGGGCAGTGGCAGTGGGCAGCAGCAGGGCGTGGCCCAGGCGGTGAAGCAATAGCCGAGGGACCCGTCCGCCCTCGGACCGTCCACCAATCTTGTTTAGTTCCCTAAGGCAATTGACTATTTAACCCGTTTTTTTTTTAATTATACTTGCTCTTCCTATCCAATAAGTTTTAACTTTTCTATCACTCTACTCTATTCCTTTTTGTCTTAACCCACCATTTGTATTTAGAAGTGCTCATTTGTGTATCCCTGTTTTCTATCATACCTACGAAAAACCTTATATATACTATTAGAGCTTAGTTGTTAATTATGTATCTTAATTACACGTTTATAAAGTACGCTTACGATTGTTAAAGCAGTGCCTATTTGTTTGACGTCGAGTACCAACATGCTCACTTTTGTCTATACATTTACATTTACGCTTTATTCGACTCGATTAACATTTGCATTTCGCAGTGCAGGGTTCTAGGGGTCTGCACAACGACGACTACATATGAGGTGTACAAAATAGGATCTGCCTTGCCATATCACAATTAAAATTTGTATACACAGATAGAGAAATGCTTGCTGCTATGCACAAGAGAACTTCGTCCGCTCACTTCATCGTCGGATCTGGGAAAGCATCGCGAGGGGGCTTGAAGCTCAACATCATGATGTGTCGCGCATACGACTTGGTGGCCCGGAAAAGGGAATCGGTGCCATGGAGGCGATCCAGGACTCCCAGCACACCGAAACAGTTGTTGAATCTGTCGGGCAGGAAGGTGAAATAATATTAGATCAGTATACACATAATATTTTAAAGGGGCATATTCACTTTCAAGGGATTTCTTATTATACTAATTAAATAATAGTTATTCATGAAAAAAATCTCAGGAAATTCTTGAAGGTGAAAGCCAATATGCGATCCTAATGGATTACTTTAGATGGTGAAAGTCGTGCGCTTCGGGACTGGGAAAGAACGGAAGGTGGTAGCCGGAATGGGCGTTGAGCGTGGAAAGGATCGCCAGTGCGAACCACAGCCACGCGGTGGCCACATGGCTGCCCATGAGAAAGACGCCCAGGAAGGGCGGCAGAAGGTTGCTAAAGATGTGCTCGATGGGATGGCAATAGATGGCCGTCACCGAGATGGGGGCCGTCCACTCGTGGTGCTGCTTGTGGATGTACTTGTAGATGTGCTTGTGGTGCAGCAGACGGTGCGAGTAGTAGAATCCCAGCTCCTCCATCAGGATGCACACGGTCAGCTCGAAACAGACCCAGTGGAACGTGGGCAGGTCACGGATGTCGCTCAATCCGCGAATCTCCATTAGCCTGTAGCTGGCGTAGGCCAAAGGTATGCCTACGAATATCTGGTTGCAGACCACGCACCAAATCACCTAAAATGAGCCACAGACAAAGGAGGTTAGCCATGGGGTCAACCAGCAATTAAATCTCGATTTCCATCGATCAATTTCGAACCTTCAGCAGGCGACGCACTTCCACGGGTTCATTGGTGCCCGGCTGGATCTTGTACTTGCGCAGACAGGCGGGCCGGTTGGTCAGGTCCATGAAGGTGTACAGTGTGCCCACGGTCCAGTAAACGATCATGGTGAAAATAGTGGTGCCAAAGACCCATAGCACCATAGGCTCGTCACCTGGGAAATTGATTTGTTTATTAAGGCTTAATTAAAACATCTAAGGTAAAGAGATGAATTAAGATAACTAGGACTTTTCTCAAGAGATCTTTTATATAGGTTAAAAGGTAATGCATATACACAATACAAAAAATGTAATTCAAAATAAAGTATAAAAAATTAAATACATCTTCAAAACTTCCAAAATGAATATAATATGCTAGTTTATTAGTTTGGAGAATCTTTAACTATTCCAAAGAAAAAAAACTAGGAAACAGATATAAATTTCTTATATTAACATGGGAATTTCTACATTTTTAAAGAAGGCATAACAACTGATACAACTTATGGATGCTATAAAATGGAAGCTGGTAAATAAACTTATAAAGATAAAAGACCCTATATAAAGAGCATTAAAGCAATAAAGAGTGTGAATTGTAAATTGTAGGAGATATAAGGAAAATGCAATTAAGCAGCCTATGATAAATCCCGTAAATATTATATAGAACCCTGTTTGTTCAACAGCTTCCGACTTTGAGCTAAAGCAATTTCAGTTAACCGAAGTTCACTGCAATAAGCACAGAACATTGAGCCCATTGTGCAATGTTTAATTATTTGCTCTGGCTAAATAAAGTTAAATAATGGCAATATTTAAACAAAGTAGCTATTCAAGATTGGGGGTTATATGATGAAGAATTCAAATTCGAATGAGTAACGCGGCGATTCATTTTGCGTAATTGGCATCACTTCTGGCTGCGTTTGTATCAGTATCTGTGTCTTTTTATCTGTATCTTTGTATCTGTACCTTTTGTGCCTGTGCGATGGAATTAGTAAACAAAACAGTTGATGTTGACATTTTGTTGTCGCCTCTGGCTGAGAATTGCAATTTACACAATACCACATAGGCACAAAGAGAGGGACAAAGTACTTTAGGCATTTACCTGTGCCTTTCTCCATTCTTTCCCCCCCCCTTTTTTTGGAATTACTTACCGAACGAGTCGATGAATTTGTCCCACTGCGACTGCCAGAAGTCTCCGGAGGCGCCCCAAAAGCTCTGCAGATGCCTGGCATAGATATAAGAAACCTCGATGAATTTATCCTCCATGGTTCGTGCTCTCTATTTGTTCTTATTCTTATAGAATTGGCTTTCTCCCGATTCTTCGCTCTCCTCAATCGCTTTCTCTGCGCGTTTCGTCTGCGCTGCTGAGCGTCGCAAAAGCAAATGGCAATTGCGATCGCCGCATCGCGTGGAAAAGCGCAGTTCCCGAAATCAAAGCTCGACTCAATCCCAGACTCTCACCCAAAAAGAGAGAGCGGGAGAGAGAGAGAGAGAGTGGAGAAGAAAGTCTGTCCTCGGGAACCGAAGCTTAGAACACCCTTTCATACCTTTACGCTATATGTATTAAACTTATATCGTATTTGGTATGATAGTGTAAGAACCTATAACACAGCATTAGTTGCAATTTAAGATATCTGTGGTGTAAAAAACTACTGTCAACAAGTATGCTTTCAAACATTATTAGCTCTTACAAAAATTAATTAAGTACAAAAATGAGGTGAGAATTGAACCATACAGAGGATTTACTCAATTAACAGGTTGCGCTTTTTGGGTTTGGCATATCCGATAGGTTAAAGTCACATCAATAACGACCTGCGAAAATATAGTCCTAAGCCCAAGTTCACAAATAAACAAACGGACAGACTTAAATGCAAAAATAAGCATATTCTAGATTGCCATCCCCATTCTCTTTTCATGCGTAGATAGTAAAATACAAGATAATGCAACTTTTATATAATAGCCCAATCTGGGGTCACACAGGTTATCAAATTATAATGGAAAATAGGGTTATTAAGTTAGTGATGCAGATTTGTCTGCATAAAATTGATTGCATTATCAAAAAAAACTGTTGTTTCATAATTCGACGATCAAATATGTTATAATTAAATATTCCTCCTACATTCTAACCAAAATGTCCTATTGTTTAATGAAAAACTAAAACAAAAAATAGCTATTAAAGACCGTTTTTATAATGAATTTTTAGAAACTGAAAATAATAATTCGTTCCCTCAGTAAGTTTGTAGAATTTCGTAAATTGGTAGATAATGAATCTGTTACCGAGGCCCTAGAATGTATTGCCTTTTTTCAGTTGCATTATCCAAACTTTAAAATCCAAAAGATCTCCTAAGATCGGACTAATGCCCCTAAGAGGAGAGCACCAGAAAACGAGAGAGCTTATAACTTCTAACCGGAATCCGAATGATTCCTTGGAACTTGGATTATTACCAGGTGAGGACGTTGCGGAACAGGATAAAGGCGGCTAAAGCACAGGTGATGATGAAGATGACGCTGTGCAGCGAGGACAGCCAGACGTCGGCGGTGCGGGTGTCGTCCCAGTTCTGCAGGGGTGAGCAGGAGGATGGGTTCTGATCCTTTGCATTCTGCAGGAGAGGATTAGTCGGATTAGTTTACGGGGGGAGAGGAGAGGCTGCCAGGATGCGGCGGGCTTACCTCATTGAGATTCAGGTAGACCGGCGCCAGTCCCACCTTGTCCTTGAGGATGCCACTCCCACCGCCCAACGAGGAGGCGGAGGACATGGAGCTGTTTCCAGCGTTCCCGGGCTGCACGGTCACCGAAATTGGCGAGGAGGCGGACGAGGAGGAGGGGGAGCCCGAGTTATTTGGCGGTCTTCCGTGCGCCGGATTCAACATGTTTACGGCTTTTCCTCAGTTTTTTTCGATTTTTTCTGAGTTTCCTTTACAACTTTCCTAGTTGTTACTCTCTCCCTCGTCGTAGTTTCCCTTTTTGTTGTGGCTTTTCCGTTGTCCTTGACATTTAACGCACTTCGATTTTTCTATCGTGCAGTGATTTTAATCGGCCGGTTTGGAAATATAAAAATAAGTAGTAAATAAGCCGAATAAATAATTATGCATTTGTTGTTAACTTTGTGACATGAACAGTTACATTCAAACGTTTATTTTTTAAATCACCGCTTTTGGAAAAGCGCTCTCTCTTTCTCTTTCACTCACACACACGTAAGACGGTTCCCGAGTGACCATAAATCGCCAACAGTGGAAACCACTGGAACACTGGAATGGAACAACATACAGTGGTCGACATGGTAAACTGAATTCCTATGTGGAATATTCTGCTTATGTTAATACCATTAATTTTAAAGCGAGCCCAAAGATCTGTCTGAAAAAAGATTAAAATTTTAATTTGGCAATAGTTATAATTTAGTAATCATTTTGTTACGAATATATGTTTATTTATTATATTCAATGCTATAAGACATTAAACTGAGTTTTCTTTCTGCCGATAGTTGACCCCAGTCATCTCTATAAGTAGTGTTAGAAAATTTACAAATAAATAAATACTGTCTAGGTACGGATACAAGATATTTTACAATTACAATACTAAATAAATGTTTATTTTTCGTACATAACATATATTGTTGTGATATATATTTGTTGTGATTTTTGTTTCATTTTTATATAAAAGGAAATCTTGATACCATTGCCACAATTTTTTAACATATTGAATGTGCCCATTGGCAAATATGTTTAATGTACATTGCTTTGAACTTAAATTTTAGATACATACTTAACAATTTGTTTCCGCCGCTCAGTTAATGTGAATTTTCATCGAACTACTTTCTATTTATCAAAACATATATTATTTTCAAAATATGCATCAAAACTCAAAAGATGGCGCTTCTAAAACTGTCCAAATATCGATAGGTATTAGTATTTTTATGCTTTAAATACTAGAAACGCTTGTGGCCAGTGGAATCGGCCTATTAGATATATTTGGTATTAGGTATCAATTTGTGTTTTATTTACCTAGGCACTGTTAAATTGTACCTAACCGAGTTACACAGCCGCAAACATTTTCCAGCACTGTCCGCTTGCCAGTGCGTAAACAACAAGGGGGAGGGAGAAGAGCACATTAAAAGAGCAGAATAAGAAGCAGAGCAACAAAAAAATCGAAGGGAAGGATGTTGGTGTATGAATGTGAGAGCAAGTGCAGTAGTTAGCTGTAAATTCGAGATGACACAAAAAAAGCAGATTGAGCTGTAATTGGAATCCAAATCGAATCCAAAAAAGAAGTTGTGTTGTGAATTCCATTTGCAGCCCTCCAGAATTGGCCAGAAATGGAGGAGTCCGCATCGAATAATCCAGCTGCAGTTGCGTCACGTGGCCGCGGACGTGGGCGGCCGCCGAAAATAGCGCCTCCCACTGATGCGTCCGCCCCCAATCCGCCGCCCAATCCCCCCAAGGATCCGTCACCCACTCCGCCGGAGGATGCAGATGGCGGGCAGAACGAGTGCCGCCGCAGTTCGCGCAAGAAGATCATCAAGTTCGACGTTCGCGATTTGCTGAACAAGAACCGGAAGGCGCACAAAATCCAGATCGAGGCACGCATCGACTCGAGTCCAGGTCCTAGTTCGTCGGGGCCAGTCCCGTCGACCTCATCCGTGAGTCGTTTGTTCTCCATGTTCGAGAGCAGTCAGCAGTCGTTGCCGCCGCCACCGCCGCCGCCCGCTCTGGAGATCTTCGCCAAGCCCAGGCCCACCCAGAGCCTGATTGTGGCCCAGGTGACCAGCGAGCCGAGCGCCAATCCCGGCAACACGCTGGCCAACCTGCCAGTGGTGGCCGCCCGCAAGCGGGGTCGTCCGCGGAAGAGCCAGCCCCCTATGGAAGTGGCTTCGTCACCTGCCACTGCTGCGCCCAGCTGCTCGGACTCGGACACCAATTCCACCAGCACGAGCACCTCCACCGGCAGCTGTGGCGACAGCGGGGATCCAGCTGGCTTTGTTAAACGTAAGCCCAAGTCCAAGCTGCGAGTCTCCCTCAAGCGCTTGAATTTGGTGCGCAGGCAGGAGTCCTCCGATTCCGGGGACATGGTCATGGGCAGCTCGCCGTTATCTTCGTCGCCGGAGGTGGAGCCGCCTGCCCTGCAGGATGAGAATGCGCTTGACGAGCAGCCCGAAAACGAGCAGGAGGTGTCGCGAATTGTCGTTGCCGGGGATACCTCTGATTCCGATTCGCAGATCATATTCATCGAGATCGAAACGGAGAGTCCCAAAGCAGAGGAGCAGGAACATGAACCCCAAGCCGAAGGGGAGCCACTAGTAATCGACATTGCCAAGCAGGGCCAAAATTCCGACGCGGAACAAGATCTCGACGAGATAATGGTGGAGGTGTTAAGTGGACCGCCCAGCCTGTGGTCAGCAGACGACGAAGACGAGGAGGATGCGGCAGCAGCAGCTGCGGAGAGAGCCACCCCACCAGAAGGCGAAGTGGAAGCCGAGTCTTCTTCTCCGGCTCCGCGGCGCAGCAGGCGATCCGCGCAGCCAAGGGGCAGCAGCAGGCTGGGCAAGACCCTCGAGGAGACATTCGCCGAGATTGCTGCCGAGAGTAGCAAGCAGATCCTGGACGCGGAGGAGTCACAAGACCAGGAGGAGCAGCATATGCTGATAGATCTCATCGAGGACAGTCTAAGTCAGCCGGAGTCCCTCAGTACCAAGTTCATTTCGCCGTCGCAGTCACCCACTATCGAGAACATGGAGCTGGAGGAAGTCGAAGTCGAGACGAAATCAATGCAGGAGACAATCACTACCAAGCAGGAATCCGTCCCTGCAGTTGCTTTAGGGACACCAGAGACCGAGCCAGTTTCGCCGAAGCCAGCAATCCTTATTCCGGAGTCTAAAAAGATTACTCCAAACTCGGGAGAATCAATGCCTAAACTGAAAGAGAAAACAGAAGCTATACCAGAGGTAAAATTGGTCACCAAAGCTGTCGCGAATCCAGATCCGGTCGCCAAAACTGTTTCCAAGATAGAAACGGTCACCAAGGCTGTTCCGAAGCCAGAATCTGTCACCAAAGGTGTTACAAAACCAGAATCTATCACCAAAGATGTCCCAAAGGCAGCAGAGATTACTGGAGCTAAGTCAGCGACCACCATACATGTTCAGCCCGTAAAGAAACTGGGTAATAAATTAGATTCAGAAATAAAACGACCTATAGAAACTGTCCTACCTGAGAAGAAATCGTCTGAAGAAATCGTAGAAATGTCGGAGAAAAAAGATGAGCCTCATCCAAAGCCGTCGGAGAACGATATGCCCGAATCAGAAAGCGCAAAGAAATTAAAACCAGTGGGAGCCATTCCCCAGGCCAAACGGATTCCGCAAATAGAAGCCGACACCAAGGTGGCTCAAAAGGCATTTCCAGAACCTGTCACCCAAGGTGAAGAAATTGGAGAACTGCAAAGCGATCAGGCGTCACTGCTAACAGTGGCAAAAACGGAAGTGGAGGTGGAGAGAACTGAATGCCCGACTGAAATCACTGCACTGAAGACTGAGTCTGCCAGCGAAAAGAAGGCAGCCGCCGTGCCAAAATCCCTGCCAGAAATTAAGGAAAGGAAAGAGGAACCGAAGAAATCTGTTGTCACAGAGAAGAAGGAGCTCAAGAAATCCCTAACGGATATATCTTTAAAAAAGGAAAAAGAAACTGAAAAATCCTTACCGGTGGATAACCCTAAATCATCACCATTAGCTGCGGTTAAAAAGGAGGAAGAATCTATTGAGTTGGAAACGTATTCAAAAGTATCGCTTAAAAAAGATAAGGAATCGGAGAAGTCCCCCACGGAAAGTACGCTTGATAAGCAAAAAGGGGTAGAAAGGTTATCAAAAGAAGTTGATTTTGAGAAGGAAATGGAAACGAAGAAATGTTTGCCAGAAATTACTCTAGCTAAGCAAAAGCCAAAAGAAATTGTAAAGGAAAAGTCGCCATCAGAATGTACTTTACTAGCGATGGAGGAACTGGAGAAATCCATTACTAATACTAATCAAAAGGATAAACAAACTGCCAAAAGCCCACCAGAAGTTTCTTTTGCGGAGAAGAACGAGCCAACAAAACCACTACCAGAATCTGCTCCGCCAGAGATCTCGAAATTACCACCAGATCACGCAACACCCCATGAAACTGCAGTTGAGGCTCCCAAAGAGGAACAAGCTGGGAAGAAGCCCCTCAGCGACTATTCTACACCTTCCTGCAAATCCAAGGATAAATTCTCTCCAGCTTTCGTTGAGTGCGATGCCATGTTCAAGGCCATGGACAAAGCGAATGCCAAGATGCGTCTCGAGGAGAAGAGCAAAAAGAAGCAGAAGAAAGTACCGCCCAAGGTGGACTCCCCCATCCCCATTGCTTCATCCACGCCGGCTCTTGGCCAAAAGAAGTCGCTAGGCGGCAAGACCGGCACACGCCGCAACACCATCTATGAGGATTCTCCCAAGCCGGAGAGAAACAGCTCTCCTAGTTCCGATTCCACCCATGTATCCACGCCAGTTGGCAAGATGAAGCGGTCCAAGGCCAAGAAAAAGCTAAATGCAAGGCGCAGCACGATCTCTGAGGAAGCAAAAGATCTCAGGAATAGCAGCCCACCCACGGAGGAGCTGGTGGCAGCCAGTTCGCCTGTTTCCTCCTCATCAGATTGCTCTTCGAAACGAAACCAATGCAAGACAGCCTCCCCTGAGCTGGGCGGTGGCTCTAAGTTGGACCTGCGCCGGAACACCATCTGCGAGGATCGTCAAGCTGACACCGCCACTCCGGTCCCGCTCACCAAGCGTCGCTTCTCGATGCATCCCAAGGCATCAGCGAATCCCCTGCATGATACCCTTCTACGGACTTCTTGCAAAAAGAGGGGCCGAAAGGCGGGCAAGGGATCGCTGAGCCGCCAGAATTCGCTGGACTCCAGTTCAAGTGCTTCTCAAGGACCCCAGAAAAAGAAAGCACTGAAGACAGCGGAATCTCTACATGCGGCACTTATGGAAACCGAGTCGTCCGAGTCCACTTCTTCGGGAAGCAAGATGCGACGCTGGGATGTGCACACTTCACCGAATCTGGAGCCTCCCAATCCCCTCAGGGATATTGCCAAGTTCATCGAAGACGGGGTGAATCTCCTCAAGCGCGATTACAAAGTTGAGGAAGACCAGCGGGAGGAGGGTCAGGAGGATGTCAAACGAGAACCAGATACCGAGGAGGAAGAGTTTGCACAACGAGTGGCCAATATGGAGACCCCGGCCACAACGCCCTCTCCTTCTCCAACGCAGTCCAACCCGGAGGATTCGGCCTCCACTACCAACCTTCTTCAGGATAACAGTGGCGGCGGAGGAGTGCGTCGCTCCCATCGGATCAAGCAGAAGCCGCAGGGACAACGGGCTAGCCAGGGAAGAGGCGTGGCCAGCATGGCCCAGGCGCCGATCAGCATGGACGAGCAGCTGGCTGAGCTGGCCAACATCGAGGCCATAAACGAGCAGTTTCTGCGCAGCGAGGGGCTCAACACTTTCCAGCCGCTGAGGGAGAACTACTACCGATGCGCCAGGCAGGTGAGTAATGAGTACCCACATCTGATCCTCAGCAATAACTCATTCAATGCATAATTCTCGTCCCAGGTGAGTCAGGAAAACGCCGAGATGCAGTGCGACTGCTTCCTTACTGGCGACGAGGAGGCGCAGGGACATCTAAGCTGCGGCGCCGGCTGCATCAACCGGATGCTGATGATCGAGTGCGGACCGTTGTGCACCAACGGCCAGCGGTGCACAAACAAGCGCTTCCAACAGCACCAGTGCTGGCCATGTCGGGTTTTCCGCACGGAGAAGAAGGGGTGCGGCATCACGGCGGAGCTGCAAATGCCGCCGGGCGAATTCATCATGGAGTATGTGGGAGAGGTAATCGACAGCGAGGAGTTTGAGCGGAGGCAGCATCTGTACTCGAAGGATCGCAAGCGTCACTACTATTTCATGGCCCTGCGCGGAGAGGCCATCATTGACGCCACCTCCAAGGGCAACATCTCGCGGTACATCAACCACAGCTGTGACCCGAATGCCGAGACCCAGAAGTGGACGGTCAACGGAGAGCTGCGAATTGGCTTCTTTAGCGTGAAGCCCATTCAACCAGGTGAGGAGATCACCTTCGATTACCAGTATCAGCGGTATGGCCGCGATGCACAGCGTTGCTACTGCGAGGCAGCCAACTGCAGAGGCTGGATAGGAGGCGAACCGGACTCCGATGAGGGGGAGCAATTGGATGCGGATAGCGACAGCGAAGGGGAGATGGAGGAGGAGGAACTGGAGCCGGAGCCGGAGGAGGAGCAGGGCCAGCTCCGTAAGATTTGTGCAAAAGCAAAGCCCAAGTGCAAGCTGAAGGTGAAGTTGCCCCTGGCCACCAAAAGCAAACGCAAGGAGCAGCAGACCAAGCCCAAAGATCGTGAATACAAGGCTGGCCGCTGGCTGAAACCCACTGCTGGTGGTTCATCAGGATCAGGGGAGAAGGCTTCAAGGAAGCCGAAGGTCAGCAAATTCCATGCCATGCTCGAGGATCCCGATGTGCTGGAGGAACTGTCACTGCTCAGTCGCAGCGGGCTGAAGAATCAACTCGACACGCTGCGCTTTTCGCGCTGCATGGTGCGAGCCAAGCTCCTGCAGACGCGTCTTCAACTTCTGGGCGTTCTCTCGCGTGGAGAACTACCCTGTCGACGGCTTTTCTTGGACTACCATGGCCTTAGATTGCTACACGCTTGGATAAGCGAAAGCGGCAACGATAGCCAGCTGAGAATGGCTTTGCTAGATACCCTTGAATCCCTACCTATTCCAAATCGCACCATGCTTAATGACAGTCGCGTATACCAGAGTGTCCAGCTGTGGAGCAACGGTCTGGAGCAGCGGCAGCCTGCGGCGGGAGACGGGGATCAGGCCCAGACGCAGGCGGCTCTCCACAAGCGCATGGTGGCCCTCCTTCACAAATGGCAAGCTCTGCCCGAGATCTTTCGCATTCCGAAGCGCGAGCGGATCGAGCAGATGAAGGAGCACGAACGGGAGGCGGATCGCCAGCAGAAGCACGTCCATGCGAGCACGGCCCTGGAAGATCAACGGGAGCGGGAGAGCAGCGGCGATCGTTTCAGACAGGATCGCTTTCGGCGGGACACAACCAGCAGCCGAATTAGCAAACCAATCCGCATGAGTGGAAACAACACGATATGCACGATAACCACCCAGCCGAAGGGCAATAATGGATCCATGGATGGTATGGCCAGGAACGACAGTCGCCGAAGGCCCGACATGGGACCCTCTACGGAGCCAAGGCGCACGTTGTCCAAGGAGCTCCGCCGCAGTCTGTTCGAGAGAAAGGTAAGTACGGAGATCGGGGCAATAGCTCATCCATAACGCATTTCAATTTCCAGGTGGCCCTGGACGAGGCTGAAAAGCGTGTTTGCAGCGAGGACTGGCGGGAGCATGAGCTGCGCTGCGAGTTCTTCGGCGTGGACCTGAACACAGATCCCAAGCAGCTGCCCTTCTACCAGAACGCGGACACTCGCGAATGGTTCAACAGCGAGGACATGCCTGTGCCAGCACCGCAGCGCACAAAGCTGCTGTCGCACGCGCTGCTCTCCCCTGAAGTGGATGGTGGACAGGCTGTTTCCCCTATCGTGGAGTACAAGCTGCCAGCCGGAGTGGATCCCCTGCCGCCAGCCTGGCACTGGCGGATGACAAGCGAGGGCGATATCTACTACTACAACCTGCGGGACCGGATATCACAATGGGAGCCGCCCAGTCCGGAGCAGCGACTTCAAACGCTGGTGGATGAGGATCCCACACAGCAGCCGCTTCATGAGCTTCAGATCGATCCCGCGCTCCTGGCCACCGAGCTCATCCAAGTCGACATGGATTATGTGGGCTCGCTTAGCTCCAAATCCCTGGCCCAATACGTCGAGGCCAAGGTACGAGAGCGTCGCGAGTTGCGCCGCAGCCGCCTCGTCTCCATCCGTGTGATCAGTCCAAGGAGAGACGAGGACCGCCTGTACAATCAGCTAGAGTCCCGGAAGTACAAGGAGAATAAGGAGAAGATCCGCCGGCGCAAGGAGCTCTTCCGCAGGCGCAGGATCGACGTCACAGCGACACCTGCTTCGATTGCGAATTGCTCGGCCAATCCAGAAGATGCAACTACCGCCGGCAGTTCACTGCCCATCCAGGCCTATTTATACTCCTCCGACGAGGATGCGTCAGATGCCCCAGCTGCTGCGGACTTGCCCGTGGTAGAAGGGGCTGTGGCGCAGGTGGAGGAACTCGATTCACTTAATCTGGCACCGAGCACCAGTCACGCGGCTCTCGCTGCTCTCGGGAAGTCGGCCGGTCAGGGGACCCAGGCGAGTGGAGCGGCCACCAAGCGTAAGTTACCGATGCCACCGCATGTGCCGGTCAAGAAGCATCGCCAGGAGCACCGCAGCAAGAAGGGCAAGAGGTGAGTCGTTTGTTGGACATAACCTTCTGAGAATATATATATAATGCTTGTTTGTTTAGTTCCCAAAGCCTTTTGACTACCACGAGCGGACGCGAGGCACACGAAAAGTTCCGCTTCGAAATCAGCGGGCATGTGGCCGATTTCCTGCGTCCTTATCGCAAGGACAGCTGTCAGTTGGGTCGAATTACTAGCGACGAGGATTACAAGTTCTTGATCAAGAGGGTGCGTTCTGAGATTCCCACTTTTTGCGACAGTTTCCTCACACTCGTCTATTTCCCATTTGCAGCTAAGCCATCACATTACCACCAAGGAAGTACGGTACTGCGACTTGACCGGCAATCCTTTGTCGTGTACGGAATCCGTCAAGCACAAATCTTACGACTTCATTAACCAGTACATGCGTAAAAAGGGCCGCGTCTACCGAAAACCAGCAGAGAGTACCATATTTTAACTCCAATACCTAGCCGTAAAGGAGCAAAATTTTAATGGGGGGGAAAGGAACCCCAGGACGTTTTCTCTTTCTGCACCACAACCCGAACCAAATCCCACATGGAACTAAAACTATACATTTACGTCATTTGTACACACTAGACTAGAATTAAGATCCTTAGCGTGTGACCTACCCCTCGAAGTCGGTAGAGTCTTATTTAAACATAACTAGAACATTGTAGATCGTGGAAATAGACATAGACAACAAATATACGGAAAAATTATTGGAAAAAAAATTAAAAAAGCTGGAAGCTATAATTGGAAATTATTGGTGTAATTTCATATTTTGCAAACATAGGTAATTATTATAATTTTTTTGCTATTTACAAGCTTCCAAAATGTATTATTTGCTAAGTTTTCAATATTACTTATAAAATATTCCAACGTATAAAATTTTGATGTTCGTGTTAGCCATGTTGGCTATTCAAAAACTCAAGATAATAAAGGGCTAAACAATAAAGAATTTTCGTTTGGGAAGGGGATCGTCTTAACGAGTGCACACCGAATTTAACGTCTTGTTCAAAGTCGTTTATATAAGATTGTGAATAATATCGATTGCGTGACCCTATCTTCAGCACATATGTCTATTGCGTGGCTTAATACTTTTGGATGTTTCCCCATATTAGCTTATTGACGAAAACAACTTAGACCTTAAATCAATCTACTAATTCAAAGCAAATGTGTTTAGATGTTGATCGGGTAAAATAGTTTTTTTTTATTTATATAATATAATAAGATAATATTACACTCCTTGAACATGAAAAGAAAAGAGAGAGCAAGAAAATTCACTTTAAGTGCGAGCGAGAGCAATAAATTCCTTATATGAAACCTTTCCATATTTTACGTACATACATTTTAAGTTCCTGTAACGACGATATTTCGTCTTAGAGAATAATATATTTTTATTTTACTTACAGATGTAAGGATATAAAAGCTTCGGCTTGTGGAATTAAGCATTTTTTCTTTTTGACATCTTGAGCCTTGGAAATATTTTTTTTGTAATAAAAATAAAAAATAATCATTTTAACAATATTTAAATGTTTTAATAAATGAAAAGTACTGTAATAGCGCAGATTAGAACCATAGTATGTAAGCATATCTTAGACTTAGTGCCAAAGGTAACGACTACGAATAAAACCGAAAGCGGCATGTTTTGTGTACGAAATTATGTTGTGAAAAAAAATGGATTAATTTTTAAATACAATTATGTAATTTTATTAAATATAAATTTAATAAGTTGCTTTAATCGGGAGCAGTTACGAAAAACAATTGTTCATAAACGATATTCTTTTATAAATATATTATTTTTTATTTTTTCATCTGAATTTGATTCTTGGAACTCCTGAGCTCCAGGCGACAAACAAGCGGCCACTGTGTCTCTGTTTACCATGGACTTAATGGGGGAAATCTGTCCAAAAGCAGGGGGGAATTGGGATGGTGGGGCATTTGAATCACAGCGTTTCGGGGCAGGATGGCAAAGTGTGGCAAATTAACCGCAGAAAGCGGTGGCAATATGGTGAACGGGCGAACACGTGACTTGGAGCATTAAGCAATTTGCCGAGCGGATTGTTGGTCCTGTCCAATGGGCGCCTAAGCAATTGAATTAACCACCTTTCCCCCTGGTCAACAGGGGTCCAGATCTTTGAGGTTTCTCAGTAGCAATTGCAGCAAGTACACTCACAAAATCGAACAGTACAAGCTTATTAAATTGCTAAACATACTGTACATATTGACCTTAACAATTACCTAACACTTTTTTTTTTGAAACAAATTGATACCTTAAGTGAGTAAAAAACTATATTTAAATTTTGAATCAATTATGTATCTTAAAGTTGAGAAAAACTATTAAACATCTTAAATCAGGGATAACATCCTAGTCAAATTTGTTGATAGTTTGTTTTCAATAATTGGTAGCTTAAGGTACAATTGAAATATTTTTTCACATTTGATTTTTCTTTTAAAATGCTTAAATGTCTCATATACTTAATAATCCGAATAAAATAATAATAAAATGCAATTTATGCCAATTGCACAAGATCAAGTTCCCAGAACTGTTAGAGTGCATCGTGTACAGTGTAAATGCTAGTGGCCTGACCTCTTGACCCGTTAAACACCCATTCCTCCATCGACCCCCCCCCACTACCCCCCTGGACAACCGACGAACACATGAGAGTGCGAACCAGTTTACCGTTTCGATTACAATCCAATCGACTTGGGCCAACAGCTGCAGGGTCTCTTCACCGCCTCTCCAACTAAACTTGAGTGGGGATCAAGGAGTGGGCTGAAAGGAATACGGGGAGTTACACCCCCTTCAAAGGGGTTCTCCACTCCTACACTTGTTTTTGCTACCGTATCCTTGGGATATCGCACAAATAACTTAATGCAATTTATTAATGCACGAGAAATATATTGATAATTTTCAAAAGGGTATTTAAGCAAATACAAAGTAAAATATCAATATGAACTATATAAACTTCGGCTTGCCGAAGTTTGCTTACCCTTGCAGATATTACAAAACACCTTTTTAACTTGTATGCCTATATTACTAAAAACAATGTAGCTATGTCGGTAATTTTTGGTAAGTCATGGAATCTCATAGTCCAATTTTAAGTCACTCTTTTACAAGACATCGGTACATTATAAATAACTAATATGAAAATGGGTCAAAAATTTGATCAACGATAAATTGAAAAATTTGAATGCAGATTTTTAGAGAATCGAATCACGAGTCTTTAGAGGTATGCCACTTTGGAATCGGCTTAAGTTTGGTAAAGTTATGGACACTCGAATTCCAATTTTGAGTCACTGTATTGCAAAACATCGGAAAATTAAAAATAATTGACATGAAAATGGGTCAAAAATTTGATCAACGTTAAATTGAAAAATTTGAATGCAGATTTTTAGAGAATCGAATCACGAGTCTTTAGAGGTATGCCACTTTGGAATCGGATTAAATTTGGTAAAGTTATGGACACTCGAATTCCAATTTTGAGTCACTGTATTGCAAAACATCGGAAAATTAAAAATAACTGACATGAAAATGGGTCAAAAATTTGATAAACGTTAAATTGAAAAATTTGAATGCAGATTTTTAGAGAATCGAATCACGAGTCTTTAGAGGTATGCCACTTTGGAATCGGATTAAATTTGGTAAAGTTATGGACACTCGAATTCCAATTTTGAGTCACTGTATTGCAAAACATCGGAAAATTAAAAATAACTGACATGAAAATGGGTCAAAAATTTGATAAACGTTAAATTGAAAAATTTGAATGCAGATTTTTAGAGAATCGAATCACGAGTCTTTAGAGGTATGCCACTTTGGAATTGGATTAAATTTGGTAAAGTTATGGACACTCGAAATCCAATTTTGAGTCACTGTATTGCACAACATCGGAAAATTAAAAATAACTGACATGAAAATGGGTCAAAAATGTGATCAACGTTAAATTGAAAAATTTGAATGCAGATTTTTAGAGAATCGAATCTCGAGTCTTTAGAGGTATGCCACTTTGGAATTGGATTAAATTTGGTAAAGTTATGGACACTCGAAATCCAATTTTGAGTCACTGTATTGCACAACATCGGAAAATTAAAAATAACTGACATGAAAATGGGTCAAAAATTTGATCAACGTTAAATAAAAAAAATTAAAATTTTGAATGCAGATTTTTAGAGAATCGAATCACGAGTCTTTAGAGGTATGCCACTTTGGAATCGGCTTAAATTTGGTAAGGTTATGGACTCTCGAAGTTCAATTTTGGGTAAACGATAAACAATTCATCGGAAAATTAGAAATAATTATATATTTTCTAAAATTACTTCTTTTAAGTTTGACATATAAGGGTAGAGCCTCTTTTATAATGCAAGGGAGTGAAAGTAACGGTCATATAATTAATTATATAGGATATAGTCGGCCAATCCTTATAAATTTGGTTTTTGACTGAAATTATAATACCCTCTGCAAGGGTATAAAAATCGAATAATTTAAATTAAGGTTCCACAATAAGTTACTCCAATTTTGGTTGCGATTCTCTTAGTTTGAAAACCTGTATATCAACTAGCTGCATCAGTATTTGAGTAGTTATTACTTTGATTAGTACTCAATAAAGTATTCTTATCTACAACAAACCCTACTTAATGCCTTGGTCATGTGTCATCTCCTAACTGCTTTCATTTTCCCCCCAATAAATCATAAAAGTGTTAATAATAATAAATAAATGCCTTCCTCGCAGTGACACTGATTACAACAGAATGGTTCCCTGATTGAAACTCGCATTAATTAAATTACCTTACAAGCAATTGCCTCTGAAACTCTGAATGTTAACTATTTGAAAATTAATGCAGAAATGTTGGGGGACCAAAGAAAAGTGAGGAGGGGGAGTTAATGGGGGGCTGCGATGCAACGTGACCTGTCAGTCGTTGACATATTGACTCATCAATTGCAGACTAACAGCTTTGACAATAGGTCGAAACGGTAATGACAATTGCCAACCCCAAGACGAACCCGCAAACCCACGAACTGTCAGCAGTACTTCAAGTCCGCTTCCAAGGACACTCAAGAAAATCAAGTATTTATACATGGATACCAATGAAATTTTTTTTTATAATTTGTATTATGTAAGTAATTAGTTAAAAATTAAAATTCCAATAATTGTATTTTAAATAAAAGTTTACTTTTAAATTGATAACATAATAGTTTAATAGTTAATGGTATTACCAGTATTTTAAATAATAACTGTATTTCTTTTGTTTATGAAGTTCGAAAACTGCCTTGTTTTATTCAACAAATTGATAATAACTATTAATTTTTGTGAGTGTATCACAATGAGCAGCGGAACATCTGGAGCTGGGGCGACCATAACAATGGCCACTGTAGTGGAAGAAGCGAAATTTTTATGTTAATGAACATAATTTTTCTCTGTTTACTTGCGCTTGTGTTAAGTGTCGCAAATAAATTCATTAAAGTGGCATTTTTCAATTTTAATGAACACTCCGGCGAGTGGCTCGGATCCCTGAAATGGACTTCGAAGGAATGAATACAAATAATGCCGGGCATTATGTTGTTAATTTAAGAAATGAATTACGGCTTATTTATGAAAATCATCAGCGTGCGATTATCGTTATCGCCTGGTGCAATCGTTGCGAAAAGTTGTACACTCATTTATGGCAATTTTGCCAATAAATAGCTGAGTGTTTGACACTTTCAGTTGAGATGTTATCATTGGTTTTGCCATTACAAAGGGAAATCATCCTCGCTGCGTGTGTGAGCGATTGTAATTATAAAACGTTTCATTGGACAATCGAGGAAGTTTTAATTGCTCGCCACTGTGCGCACAATTAATTTTTGTTTGCCCTTGGTCATTATTACTCCTCTAATCAATTTCTTGTTAATTTAAATTCAATGTGAAATTAAAGGTATTTACTGCTGAGTTGAATGAGGAAATTGTATGCAATTGTTTCACAATTTATGAATCTAAATTTAACTAAAAATGTGCAAAAAATAAACTTATTTTATTTGGCACTTTCATTTGTTTTGATAACAACGAGACATTTTTATAAATTTATAAATTTCACTATTGAAAATATTATTAATTTTTTTTATTTTATATTTTTTACTATTTACAAACTTTTTATGAAGTCTGCGAAAAGTTGATTTATTAATAAGGTTTTATTCTGTCGAAACAGTCTAACTATCAATTGGTGGCTAGTGCCATAATTTAATTTATTATGAACTTGAATGCTTTTTTAAGAATACTTTATTTAAAGTACATGAACATTCAAAACGTGGGTGTTTTAAAATTAATTTTTCTTCATTTTATTTGGGTAAAAGTGAAACCTGTTTTCCTTGTTTCTCCTTAAATATTTAAGTGTCCTTGTATTATTAAAGTTTCGTCGTTTTTTGGGAGAAATGAGAAAAAGGAGAGGGAAAAGAAATGACTGCGGCTGAAGGAAGAGCTGACATTTAATATGGCTCGCGTGTGTGTGTGTGTGTGTGCGTATGACAAACATTAACATATCACTTTACAGAAGAGATAAGGTAACACACACAGGCGCATCTCCACCAGATCCTGCTCCTTCGGCTCCTGTGGATCCTTTGGCTCCTTCGCCATCTGATGGGCTTACCCAATTATGAAACATTAAAAATACGCGCATATAAATCGCTTCATTTTTATGCGCAATTACGCGGGGGAGACAGTAACCTTGGCTGCCTCCCAATCTGCCACTCGTACCCTTCCCTTTCCATCCCCATTTTTCCCGGTAGTTCCTTGCCATCTTCACTGTAATTTCTCATGCTTGGAGGATGCCCCTGATTCAGATTCTG